TTAAAGCAGTGTTTGGTGAAATAATGGAGCCAGCCATGAGGCCGAAAGTGCTGTGGCTTCATCTATAACTCGACTGCTGTTTTTAGGGACGACATTCCAGTTTGGCTAAGGTGTTTTTCTTGGGAGGGATATTTGCAAAATATCTGTTTTTGAGATAATTCTAAATGAGGCTAGAGCAGGGGCGAGGAGGAGGTGGACACCAAGGGACACAAAGGCTCCCCTACCACACCTTCTCCCAATACCCATGCTTACCCGTGCTCAAGACAACCGTCCTTTCTGTTTACTGACCCCAGGCTTGTTTATCTTCATTATTTCAAGGAGTCTTGCAGAATAGATAAGGACTAATAAAGGTGAAAGAAGAGGGGATGGAGTTTCATCCTAAGTGTTGGAAAACACTGGACTCTTATCTTGACAAACCACATAAATTATCTATAAGGGGGTCACACATTTATTGAGTTCTTACAAGGACACCTGGCATAGTCTTCTATAGTTTCTGTTTTTGTTCTTGCTTTAGGGATGAACTCTGAGCAGGGATAATTTTAAAGCTCCATCAACTCTGATATAAATTTTATTTTTGGGATATTATAGTGTTTTTTTTATAATAATACATTTCATTTATTTATATAGTGCCATGCTTTTCAAGGAGTTTTGTTTTTTTTTCTTGCTCATCATCTTTGATTCTTAAAATAGTTCAGGAAGTAGATGGGATAGAAATTATCTCTAATTCACAATTATGAAATAGGCTCAGAAGAACAAAAAGTGGCTTTCCCAAAACATGCTTGATCCTTAATTATTTATTTACCTAAAGAGTAACAAAGCCAGAAACATGATCAAAATTCAGTTCTCCTAACTCCTGTTCTTTTGTAAGGTGTTTTGAATATGAAAATCATTCATACCATCAAAGGAAAATACAGTTCATGTATTTCACATTTGGGGATGTGAATTTTACTACAACAACGATAGCTGTGATTTATTAAACTTCTTTACAGTGCCAACAATATTTACAAGGTAGGTTTTACATTTTATAGATGAGAATATCCAACATATTAAACAACTTGTTTAAGACTACAGTTAAGTAGGGGACTGAGCCTACTTTTTGGTAGTTTGAATTTTGGTATGTCATAATGCAAAACTCTTCACGCTGCTTCATGCCTAAGGCATAATCAAGGGAGTTGAAGGAACTATTTAAGAGATAGGCCATTTGTAAAATTTTATAACATTAGAATTTTTTTTAACAAAGGCTATTAGCAAAGAAATAATTGGCAGTTTTGATTAAATTAAGATGCTTTAAATTACTGCCTATTTCAGTCAGATAAAATCCAAAGAATATATTCTGATTTTTGAAGGGGACACCTAATCTAGTCTTAGCAAGAAATACCTAAAAAAGTAAATAAATAAATTGTGTTATATTTGTCAGCTAGAAAGAAACACAATGAATGCCCAGTTGAAAAAAAAGAATGGTCAGGGATGTTTCTAGTTTGGGAGAGGCCCTAAATTCCACATAGGCTGGAAGCTGTCCATGTATCCATTTGAACAGAGAAATAGCACACAAAAATTATCAGCATGAAATACATAAAATGTCTCTAGAAAAAGTTTAAGCCCTTGGAAGAGACAATTAAGGATTTAGATACAAGTAAAAAAAAAAAAAAAAGAAATATGAAAATTAATGTGGTCAGAAACACCTGGGTGTTAGAATAGATAAAAATAAATCCACCTTTATATGTTTACAGCATTATGAGGAATGGAGTAAAACTATTTTGGACTTTTTATGATAAAGGTACTTCTTCTAATGGAGAATGACAACAACAGTGTAAACAGATAGGTGGTATTATAACCCCACTATGGGATTATATAGCCTAGTCCTGTGGTTGTCAAATTGTGGCTCTTTGCCCCCTTGAGTGTGGCTCTTCCACAAAATACCATGGCCTGGGCAAGTCTATTTAGAAGAAGGGCATTAGAAGAAGTTTAAGTTTTAAAAATTTGGCTCTCAAAAGAAATTTCAATTGTTGTACTGTTGATAGTTGGCTCTGTTGACTAATGAGTTTGCCCACTATTGGCCTAGTACTATTTTTTGAAACTCTTCCAATGTCAACTCAGTTCCTACCGTGCACCATGAGGGCTGGTAGACATTACCCACCACAACTATGGTGAGCAGTCAGCTGAATAAATGTCTGGGTGTTCTATCAACAAAAACTGAGAAAAAAATAAAAATCAACCAGCTTATGCATATAAGCATATGATCTGACTAAACAACTGCTATAGCAAGATGTGGCTGATATCAACTGCTTATAATATCAGAAAGGTAATTATAAATAAAAACTTCAGCTGTTTATTTATAATTAGAGGCCAGAGCATGAAATTTGTGCACCGGTGGGGTCCCTGGCCTGGCCGGCAATCAGGGCCAATCAAATTGCCTGCCTCCCTGCGTCCTCCTTCCCTTTGCTAACCACACATTGCCACGGCACAGTTCCCTGCCTCCTCCTTCCCTCACCGCCTACATCTGCCACCACACCTCCCCAGCTCCTCATCCCAGCCCAGAGCCTGGCCCCAATTGGGCAATCAGGGCCTGTTGGCTTCAGGGGGAGGGGGAGGCTCCTGCCAGCCTGGGGAAGAAACCCAGGAGGTTGCCAGTCCCAAGGAGGGAGCTGGCCCTCGGCCCTTGTGGGAAAGGGACTGAGTCTGCCACCACCCATCCCCCGTATCCCATCCCAACCTGGGGCCCAGCCCTAATCAGGTCATTGGGGCCTGCCAGCCAGAGGTAGGGACCAGGTGGCTGGCAGGCAGGCCCCATCAATGATCAGTGACTGAGGGTTGAGGGCAGCTCCTGCAATGAGCGTCTTACCCCTGGTGGTCAGTGTGTGTCATAGCAACTGGTCGTTCCATTAGTTCAGTCAAAATGGATGCTTAGGCATATATATATATATATATATATATATATATATATATATATATATATATATATATTTATATATATATATATACATACACACACACACACACACACACACACACACACACACCAGTAGATAGAAATAAAAGGAATAATGAGCTGAAAGTTTTGTTTTGTTTTAAGTGGGAGCATAGTCAATGAGTCCCTGTTAGTTTTCAAGTTCAATAGCCCTGAAAAAAATGACAAGAAGCTTTCTTAACTGAAGGCTGGATCCTGACCAGCTCCAGGGTTTCTTCTAGCTCAAGAGTCTGCCAAAACACTATTTCAACTTTTTATTTCTTCTCCCCCTACTGGCAGTGGTAAGCCAATTCACTTAAGAACTCAAGAAAGGAGGAGACCAAAGTATAGCCAAGTTCCTTTCTTTTAGTTAAGTGCACCAGTGCTAAATCACTGGTGGGAAAATTAAATATCAGGGGATAATAACCTCTTAACAGATCATGACCTTCTTCAGCCAAAACTTCTTCAGTATATCGTGTGCATATATAATATTCTATAGAAAGCCAAAAAAGGGAAGAGGGCTTTCAGAGTACTTGCTCTTCAGAAGGGTTTTCTCTTATTTTTTTCAAATACTAGAGGCCCAGTGCATGAAATCTGTGGGGGGGGGGGGGGGGGGTTGTGTCCCTCAGTTCAGGCTACACCCTCTCCAATCTGGGACCCTTTAAGGGATATCCGACTGCCCATTTAGGCCCAATCCTACTGGGCCTGATACATGGGTGGGGGTCGGCTGGTTTGCCCTGAAGGGTGTCCCAGAGCAGAATAGGGGGTCCCTTGGGGCGTGGGGTGGCCTGGGCGAGGGGCCTGTGGTAGTTTGCAGGCCGGCTATGCCCTCCGGTGACCCTACCGGGATCAGGCCTAAACAAACAGTTGAACATCCCTCTCACAATCCAGGACTGCTAGCTCCAAAATGCTTGCCTGCCTGCCTTCCTGATTGCCCCTAACTGCTTCTGCTGCCAGCCTGATCACCTCCTAACTGCTCCCCTGCCAGCCTGATTGCCCCTAGCTGCCCTCCCCTTCAGGCCTGGTCCCCCACAACTGCTCTCCCCTGCAGGGCCTGGGACCCCCCAACTTGCCCTTCCCTGCAGGCCCAGTCACCCCCAACTTCCTTCCTCTGCTGGCCTGGTTACCCATAACTGCACTCCCCTGCAGGCCTGATTGCCCCCAACTGCCCTCCCTTGCAGGCCTGGTCCCTCCAAACTGCCCTCCCCTACTGGCCATCTTGTGGTGGCCATCTTGTGTCCACATGGGGACAGCCATCTTTGACCTCGTGGGGGTAGCCATTTTGTTTGTTGCAGGATAGTCAATTTGCATGTTACTCTTTTATTAGATAGAATAGAGGCCTGGTACATGGGTGGGAGCCAGCTGGTTTGCCCTGAAGGGTGTCCCAGAACAGGATGGGAGTTCCCTTGGGGTGTGGGGCAGCCTGGGTGAAGGGCCTGTGGTGGTTTGCAGGCTGGCCATGTCCCCCAGTGACCCAAGCGGAGGCCTTGGTATCTGTGATTTATTTATTTTCTATAATTGAAACTATGTAGCCTTGAGCAAAGGTCAGGGCTAGCCAGGCAGGGTGGGAAGCTTGGTTTCCTCCATCGCCAGGGGCAACTGAAGCCTCCTGCTATCACTAGCTCTGTGGCTGCTGCCATTTTTGTTGAGATTTATTTATCTTTTATAATTGAAACTTTGTAGCCTTGAGCGGAGGCCAGGGCTAGCCAGGGCAGGGCGGGAAGCTTGGCTTCCTCCATTGCCAGAGACAACCTAAGCCTCCTGTTCTCTCTGTGGCCACAGCCATCTTGTTTGGGTTAATTTGCATCCTTCTCCTGATTGGCTGGTGGGCATGGCTTGTGGGCGTAGTAGATGCACAGTCAATTTACATGTTTCTCTTTTATTAGTGTAGATGTCTTTTTTTTTCTTTTTTTCTCCCTATTTTTTTTTTTTCCTCCCTATTCCTGCCTCTAGAAAGGGTGTTTGCGGGTGGAAGGTGATATACATTGGTGGGGGCTCAGGATATAAAGTCTCACACTCATTCATCTCAGCATTGAAAAAAACCCAGTCTTACCTCTCTCATCCATTCTCGAATCGTTTTGCCAGCTTCTTGATGCCACACATTGTGACAAGAGTCTGTCAGCGCTACAGCAGTTACCTTGTTTTTTACATCTGCTTCTCGTTGAATCATCTGTTTCAAAAAAAATAAAATAAAATATTGGCTATAATTTTTTTCTACTGGGTGCAGCCTGCTTAGTCATAGATAATAATATTGTATTAAAAATACAAAAGCAATATGCATCTCTTGTTCCAAGTTATTCTTTCTGCATGGAATACATGCCTTATTCTTGTCCAGAGATATGAAATGACCTAATATTTTATTTTAAAAAGATAATTTCACTTTAGTCTTAGAACTATGCAGTTCTGTCATTTTCTATGTGGTTTGACAATTCAAGGATTAAAGGGATCATAGGGGTAAGAAAGAGGATGCCCTGGGGGTTTCTTTCACCAGTTTCTTCTACCACTTCCTATTTCAGTGCTTTGGGGAAGTTAGTACCCATAGCTCACTGTTAGCAACAGGACTAATTCATGTTAATTTTCAGTTGATGGCACATCTGTAAAAAATGATATCTTGCTTTAACTTCTAGTTAACTAGCCTGTTCTTCACCATGGCTTTGTAATTTCTTGGTGTTTTATATGCCCACAAAGATCTTCTTCTTCAAAGCCTAGCAATATAAATCTGTTTTCTAATATACTTATTTATGTCAAGAAACTATTCACTTTAACTTCTTCCTGAAGAATATTCCTAGAAAATTAAGTGGTTATCAAAATTGAAAAAGAGCCGCTTGAAGAAACTGATGAATTCATCAATGGTCTATAAGATAAATAAATTGAAAAATAAAAGTTCCAGATTAAAAGAATCATAAAAAGTTTTAATTTACTAACACTAGTGACCCTAATTTAACAAAACAAATGTAAGAAAGCTTAATAAAAATTAGTTAAAATACAATAAGTAGAAGCTTTGAATTTTACAGCATGCTCTATTTCCTTATATCAGACTAGTGGCCCAGTGCACGAAATTAGGGCCTAAACTGGCAGCCGGACATCCCTTTTGCAATCTGGGACCGCTGGCTCCTAACCACTCACCTGCCTGCCTGCCTGATTGCCCCAACCACTCTGACTTCCAGCCTGCTCACTCCCAACTTTCTCCCCGCCAGCTTGCATGCACCCAACTGCCCTTCCCTGCTGGTCTGATTGCCCCCAACTGCACCCCCCTGCCGGCCTACTTGCCCCTAACTGCCCACCATGCCACCTGTTTGCCCCTATTTTCCCCCCCTGCCAGCCTGCTTGCCCCCAACTGCCCCCCACTGCCGGACTACTTGTCCCCAAACCCCCCACCCCCCGCCTTGCTGGACTGCTTGCCCCCAACTGTGCTGCCCCCACCAGCCTTCTCACCTCCAACTGCCCTCCCCTGCCAGCCTGATCACCTCTAACCATCTCTGCCTTGGTCCCGCCACCATGGCTTTGTCTAGAAGGATGCCTGGAAGGTCTCCCGGTCTAATTAGCATGTTACCCTTTTATTAGTATAGATTAGGGGTGTCGAACTCAATCAGAGAAGGGGCCAAAATCTAAAATCCAGCCTAAATCGCGGGCTGAATGGTTTACTGAACAGTCATAAACTGTCATTGTGATGGAAACGCAGCGGAGGGCAGTGATGACAGCATGGTGCGGGCCACATTGCAAGGCCTGGCAGGACGGATTTGGCCCGCGGGCCTTGTGTTTGACACATGTGGTATAGATGTTTCTTTCTCCCTCTAAAAAAAGTGATTTCTCTATAATTTAGTTAATTTTATAAATTTTATATAAAAATATAGTATCACATTTCAAAAAGGAAGCATTCTGAATGGTGATGAAAGCTTGTAGGAAAAACATTGCAAGCTATACTTCGTATATCAAACGATGCTTGGCATTCTGAATTAAAAATGTCTCTCTTGCTTTTAAGTTTCTTTAAACCCTGCATTTGCACATCCCCTTCCACTGAGCACTACCTACCTAATAGGAATCTATTCATGTTAATGCTGCCTCAGCAGCATCTCTGCACCTTAATCTTCATTCACAGTGTTTTCTGCTTATATAATACGGAAATCTTAAAATCAATGTCAGTTATCAACATGTAATATCACTACAAAAATTCACCTTGCAATACCAATAATATTTTTAAGAACATAAAATAATATGCTAATTCAATTCTTCACATATATTATTAAGTAGTTTGCTACCTTCTTCTAAATTATATTTTACAAACAGACTCTCATTGGATCATGTTGGCACTAGCATATAAAAATTTAAACCAACATAAGATAATAAAAAGCAAACTTCCACAACAGTGACTCCACCTGGCTTACAAAGAACTTACATTCCCTTACTCTAAAGAGTAACACTTTTGAAGATTTCGGATGATTGTTGCTGAAGTTACAAAATAAGAACATGCTCTCTGGTTCTCTAAGAATATGTCTGCATTTTAAAATATCAACCTTGGATTTAGTTGTTAATAGATGCTAATTTATTTAAGGTAGTAGTTTCTGAAGATGCTAAAATATTGAGGACTGTTGGTGAAATGATAAAAAAAAAAACTAAGTGTGAAATAGGCTGATGATTTAGAAGCAAAAGTAGAAAATCTGGGGATTAAAACCTGGGAGAATATTTATTTGTTACATGGACTAACAGAGAAAAAGAACTTTGGCTTGTTTGTCCATAGCGCTGGCATTGCAACTTTTCTTTACATCACATCAAATCATATTATAATCCAGCATGATAACTCCATATACTGTTACAGTATTTGACATCTTAAAAATCAGTTTATATTATATTATTAAAGGTGGGAGATGGTTAAATCACAGAGGATCTCAATGAAGAACTTCTTACAAATAATTTAAAATATTTGACTGTTTAGGATTAGAATTGTAATCTTAACAATTAGAAAATCTTAACAGTTTAGTTTCTCAGACTATTGGCCTGTTTCAGCCTTGCTGCGACTTCATCTGCTAATAATGGAACTACCTGCAACTGCCACTTCTGTCCAAAGCCTTCGTCTGCTTCTTACATTTGTTAGCCTGGTTCATGCCTCCCGCTTCCCTCCCCCCGCCTCCGCACCCCACCCCTTACTGCCTGCACTGTGATGAGCACTGATGAAAAGTATAGAGAATGGCAACCGTGGGGGTAGACTGAACACAGGGATTAAGGTTGTTTAAGAGACAGACGAACGTAGCTAAAGCAAGGAATAAGTGGAGGCCATAATAGTCCGTAAAACCCAGAAATCTGAAAGGGAGGAAGCCTTATCACCAAAATCTTACTAAATGTCAATCATATGAACACCTTTCAAATTCCCTGCAAAATTCTGTTTATAAAATATACAAATATTTTTCTAGGAGAAGATTCTTAGTTTTCATTAGATTTTCTAAGAAATCTCAGTCTCTAAAAATGATAAAGGACCATGTGATTTAAATGTCTCCAATGCATTCTTGAATCAACTATGAAATACCTGCCAAATGAGCCCTTCAAACAATTACAATTACATGAATTTAACATGTATATCAATATTTTAAGCAGAAAGGATATTCCATCTTTGTTTTCATATTTTCAATATAGTATCAAGAACTGGATAAATAAGTAACTTTGATATCCCAGATATCAACATCCTAAAGTTCCGTGGTTTAATAGGCTATGTGTATGGTAAGGTTACAATATTGTTTTTACTTGTGTTTGTATAATATTGAATTATATCTGAACAGCACTGCAAACATTTCAAAATGAATACATATTCATTCTCACTTTATTCTGAAATAATATGAAATATATGTAAAACTTGTATTATTTTTACATTTGAAGAAGATGCAACTGAGTGGAGAAATTGGATAAGGGTCACACAGATACGAAGTGACACTTGACCATGACTTTTGTTCTGTGTTCTTTCATCTATATCACATAGAGGTTTCTCAGTAACATACCATAATACTCATATAAATGAACTCATTTGGTTAATTCCCTTTTCATGTGTACAGCATTTCAATGACTTGGATAATTATTTTTAAAGATGAAAAAAAAATCCAAGGCCAGACCAGTAAGGAATGTTGAGAAATTATAAAAATCATGCCGCCCAGCTGTGAGGCTCCATGGTTGAGCAACTTGAAGATTAGCCTATGACCCAGGAGGTCATGGTTAGATTCCCAGTCAGGACACATGCCCAGGTTGTGGGCTTTCAGGAGGCAGCCGATCAATGATTCTTTCTCATCATTGATGTTTCTCTCTTCCTTTCTTTCCCTCTTCCTTCCTTTCTTTAAAATCAATAAAAACATATTTAAAAAATCAGGGCAAGATGGGAATTACCCATGATCAAAAATAGACCATCAACAGCACTTAAAAATTATCATTACAGTTCTACAATAAAATGAAAAATTTCTAGGATAAGAAGGAAAATTAGTATTTCTATAAGCCATGTTGATGATTTGAGAATATAAAACATTTGATGCTGTCACCTGATATTTTTGCTTCCCCTTCTTAATTCTACCCATTTATTTATTCATAGTCTTCTCCACCTTGGCTTATACACAATTAATCTATTTCCTTCATGGTATTGCATGATCCAAGTCTGACAAAAGCTGAACTCACCCAATAAATATCAAGTTCTCTGAAAAGATTAAAAACACATACCATCCATATGCAGGCTCATCTTGTTACTAAATTTTTTTTTATGAGGTTGAAATTGAAGAGAAACAAGAAACCTTCTATTGTTATTTTTTTCTCCCACAGTAATAAGATTTTAAACATTAAGTCACTGTAACAAAGTAGGAAAGCTAAGAGTATTTATTGAGAGTATTTTCAAGATGAAGACCAGAGGACCAGAGGGGTAGCTGCTGTTACCTTCGCTCCCCTCCTTGAGCCCTATGGCCCTTCCCCGGGGCTGCTATCATCCCTCCCCAGAAATCATGTAGATCTTTTCTATCCACCCACCTTACCATGCTTTCTCCAAGGCCCTCAACTATCTTCACAAGTACCCGGCCAAATCCAAATACTTCCTATCACCTTATAAGTTCCTTATTTCTCTTTTTGTACCTACAAGCTGTTTTAACTTTTCCTTGGGTTTCATTTCTTTCAGAACTCCATGAACTACTGTTTTACAAAGACTTTTTA